CTGCCTTATCTTTTGTCCTTCCTTATCAGACTAATTCCCTAATACATGCTGGTTGTTCTCACATCTGGGCTGCCCTTACTCTGCAGTGTCCTGCTCTCCCAATCCTACTTCAAAATCATCTCATCACTACCTCATTACCCTGGAAAGTGATTCCTATCTAGTTACTACCTCAATACTTACTAATTCTTATTTCCTTCTTATGAAAGAATCTTAGCCATTGTGTGTGAAACTGGGTTGGGTCCCTCCAGCGAAAACCCAAATCATTTCCCCAAGGCAGCGGACTTGTCTTCTATATTTATGGGTTCATTCAACCCTCAAGCCTAACCCTAGTCTTAGAACATTGATTAAATGACCTCTCAGAAAAATTTGGTTCTTCAGAGGCTTTGTCTTTGTTTCTGGAATTCTCCCTCAAATAAGAACATCCTCAACATTGGGTGGCAACACCAGGAGCTACGCATCTCAGGTATAATCTGAAGCTGACCTTATGCCAACAAACAGGGAGAAATTAAATTAAGGCAGGTCATTCCAGATTAGTAGGTGGCAGTTTTAATAACCACATGAACTTAGGCTATTTTCAAGATTTGGGATAATAAAAACTTAAATAGTTTTCTACCTGCCTTCAGAAAGTTTATACAGTGAGAAATTCATACAAAGGCTGTCACTGAATTTAGTCACAAACACCATTGAGATGCCTGCAGCAAAGTTTATCTCTGGGGATACATCCTTGAACAGCTTCTGGGAATGGGGAGGCAAGTGGAGGATGCATGTCCAGGGAAAAGTGTGAAAGCCCCCAGTCACCCAGATCTAGTTCAAGGGTAACCAGGCAATTAATTCGTGATCACCTTCCCTAAGACCTGCACTACTAGCCTGCAAGAGTGCAGGGCCAGGTTTTCCTCCTACACTTCCCCACAGGTGGTAGAGAGCTGCTGGCCTGGAGATGTCCGTCTGGCTGCCACCCGTCAGTGTGTGTCTCCTCGGCAGTACAACTGCTCTGCCTTCTGTCACCCAGAGAATGGGGAGCTCAATGCTGAACTTGGCATGTGAGTGACAAAGAACCACTGACCCAATCAGCCCTAGCTGTCCTAAGGGTCCATTTGGAGATATTGCAGGAACCTCCTTGATGGGAGACTGAGTATAAACTTCTTCCAGAATCTTCAATCTCGGCATTCCCTGTTGGGGAGCCAGGCCCATACAAGTCAAGGGCAACAGTCCAGTGCCAAAAAGTGTTGGCAGCAAAGAAAAATGAAGTTCACACCCAAATCCCTAAACCAATTGCCAGGAATTGATACTGATTAGATGCTAATCCAAGAACAGCCCTGATTCAGTCCAAATTCTAACCTTCCAGTTGACCTGTGGACTGGGTAGAGTTGCCCTTTGCTTACAGGGAAGGAGGCAAAGGAAGACTCCTGGGCTGGATGGTCCTTTGCATCAGTAGGAATATTCCAAGCTGAACACACTCTCTTCACACTTGCCTTAGTGGGACACCCAAAGCAAAACTCTCCATTCTCTCTACAGGATGCCACATTGTCCAGGCTTTGTTTTCATTATGAGATGCACAGGGTGGCCCAGAAACGGGGGGGGGGCAGCACATGGCAACAAGTCATTCATGACCCTCCATTAAAAATACTTAGGAAGCATAGACAGCTTGCTGCCTTCCAGAGGATCATACCTCCCTCTCTTGTTTCCCACAGCTGCCAGTGCCGAGGGTATGTCTCAGCAGAAGAGCTCTGTGATACACAGTGTCTGGCCAAGGCCCCCCACATCTCTCTGGTCTGGGGCCCCAGCAGGGAACTGATCCTCACCATCAAGGACAAGGCTGGAGATAGTGTCCAGAGGGTGAGCCTAACTCAGAAAAGATAGGGATGAGAGGGCAGCCTCTGGCACCCTTGCTACAGGAAAACAACACACCAAGACTAAAGAAAGCAGGTGATGAAGAGGAACTAGTGACAAGCATCTTCACTACCTAGTCAGAGCTATCTTCCCTGTGGGCTGAAGGGAAGGACAGAAAGGAAAGAAGTGCCTTTTTTTATGTCAATATTTATTACTGAATATTCTAAGGGACCACAGAAAGCATCAGCTCCACTTTATGAAGTGTGAAGTGAGGCCTAGGCATGTGAAACTCACCATAGTCACAGAAATGGTGTCAGCCCTGCCAGGACATTGCCTTAGTCCTAGGTCAGGGCCATCTAATGGGGACTGGTATTGGCTATGGCTGTCTTTGAGGCTTTGTTGAGGTGGCCTCCCAGGGCAGACCAGTACACAGGTACAGTTTGCCTTGGATGTTTGTCTGCCAGAAGGTTCTAGGTGGCTATCTGCTGGCCCCCTGAAAGTCTAGAGAGGAACATCTAGCATGGGACCAGACAAAATGTGGGATGATACGGAGGTGTTTCTTAATTGTCCCATAAGTGGCATGTTTTCATGTAGAGAGAAAAGAGACAAATGATCATTCAGTTAAAGGGTCTGAGTTGAGTCCAGGGCTTTATCTAAAGATAAGTGAAGCCAAGGCTGCAGAAGCCTCCTGGGGGTTCCAATGCATTCCATGAGTGACAATCTCTGGACACCAGCACCACCAGGGACTTTCAGCACTGTGCTACATGTTCTCAGGTGCTAGCCAACACTCTGGGTCCAGATCAGTTGTTCCAGGGACATACCAGGGTTCATCTCATCCAGCATGGTCCCAGCGGTGTCTTCGGCCTTGTCATCTACAAAGTGGATATGCTTGACTTCTTCCTTCAGGGTAAACTATCCCAGGTTTTCCCAGAGAGGGTGGCATGGATGAGAGCATAACTGCATTCTCCCCCAGAATGCAAAAAGAGGGATTCCTGGGGGTTGGGAAAACCAAAGCCCCTCAGAAACTTCTCAGCTCTGTGTCAGGCATTTGGGGGTGAGAGTGTGGCAAAGATCACAGGAAGCCACTTAGGAAAACATCCCTTGGAAGGAAAGGGTCTAGAAGGCCTGGGACTGCTCTCAAAAGATAGCATAGGGCAATAGGGGGCAGATGCACCATTTGCATGAACCCAGGTCCTCAGCCTTCCTTCCCCAAACTCTTCCAGGAAAACCTGTGTCCAGTCCCCTTCTGCCCAGGGATCATCAGCCTGCAGGTCCAGAGGACCACCAAGACCCCAATATTCATTCCTGTATTCCAAACCCAATGGTCTGTCTATTGGTAGGAGATGTGATTCTTTTCCAGATTCATATTCTTCCTCACAGTGAGTACCAATTGTCAGTCCCCTTCTCCTTTCCCCCTCTGTCCTGTGGCCTTACATACAAACCAAACCTCTGCAGTAACAGTCACAGTCCTGTGACATGTCCCTGCTTGAAACAGAAGTGACCTAATTTGTCACTTCTCCATAGGTCTCCTTTCCATGGGACAGATGTTCCAGTCCCCTTCCCTGTAGCCCATGGTTGTGTTAGACCTCTTTATCTTAGAGCAAAGTAGAGATTCACTAAAACAACGTCTGACCTGGAATCCAGTTCTCCAGAAGTTCTTTTCTGTGACTAGCCCTCTCAGCCCCTGCCCCTGTAACCTCCTCCACCTCTGGACTCCTGGTTTTATATGGATTGTATTCTTCACACTGAACTGAAGCCCATCTTCTGGACTCCCAGACTAAAAGACCAGAAAAAGCCCGAGTCCTCCTCCAAGAGGCAGCCTTCATTAGTGAGTGAGGGTGCACATATCCATCCTGCCATGCGATGAGTAAGCAACCTTGAAACCATCTGGCCCTTCTTGTCTCCCATCTGGCCCTTCCCCAGGGCACCACCATGAGTGGATGGGCCCAAGATCTAAGGTACCTCATGGTCCTGAATTGCTGGGCTGAGGCAGGGATAAGCCCAACAGTCTGTAGGCCCAGGAGAGACAAATGGAGTGTCTCACCAAGGTCTCAGGCAGAGAGAATCAAAGAGGAAAGTGAATCCCAGGAAATTAATTCCAAACTGAATGTCTGTTTTCTGGTTTCCAGACCCAGCTGTCCATAATCCCTCTGGGCTCTCCCCACCCCCGCTCTAAGCCTTGTGTCTATGCCTGTGAGCACATTTGTGTTCTATCTTATCCACGTTGTGTGGGAGGAGAGATCAGCTCCACATCTCGGGGGGGGAGGGGCAGATACAGGGGAGAGGGAGTACTTGGGAAGACAACCAACACCTGTGCTCAGGAATGACTTCTCTGTGCAGAAAAAAATGAACAGGTTGGGTAACATGCATATCTGTCAGGTACCCTGCCCACCCTGCTCATTCACTCAGCTATCCCACAGCCTATATTTAGTGTCTGCTGGATACTGAGGCCAGGCTTGCCAGGGGCACCAGCATCACTAAATGCAGCCTAGAGCACAACAAATGTGCTGGTACACTCTTTCTGAGGAGAATCATGCCCTCTACCAAGTTGTTAAATGCATCATTATATACATGAAGCAAAGAAAGATGTAATTTAACTGGAAACATTTTTGCATTTCTGTTCACTCTCATGAAGACAAGCTGCTTTGCTCTAGAGTTGGGGTGGGGAATGGAGGTCCCAAGACTGAGGCCTCCAGAACTCAGGCAAGCCTGGTCATTTCTCAGATCGCTCAGCCAGTCACTATCCTGTGTACCAGAAGCAGCATCTGTTTAACAGCAATCCCCACTGGGATTTTGGGGCTTTCAGGAGACTCAACCACCTGGTGAGAGAGACTCACCTCAACTTCTCAAGGTAACAGAATGAGGTACCTAAGGTTGGAAGGAACTGAAGTTCTCCACTTCTGGGTCATGGCCTTCTTCTTCATTCAACAGAAGGACACAGGGAAGGAGGAGAGACTGAGATGTTATCAATGGTGATAAAACCACAAGGCAGCAAGTCTTTCTGAGTGCATGGGGAGAGATGGAGGGAATAGAGTTAAGCAATTTCTTGTACCACTTTATTCCAACATGTGGGAGAAGAGCTTACCTCAGTTCAAGGGTGCCCAGGCAAGCTGGGACAGTTCATCAAGGCCAATCTTCCTTATATCCTGACGCTTCACCCCTTCCTCCAGGTTTGCACACCAGTTTCTAGATCCTGGCACATACCTGTTTCAGGACAATGGACTACCAGAGAGCATGGCTGTGGTACTCGTGAAAAAAGGGGTTGCCTGCGACCCTGGCCTATCCCCCATGCAGCCTTCTTCCCCATACCAGCTCACTAGGCATGGCATCTTCAGGCATCATCTGCCAAACCTGGGGCCAAACTGGATTGCCATCACAGGTACTGGACCCAGGGCTAGAGGGAACAATTCCAAGGGGTTGGGATGCAGGGAAGGTATTGTACAGAAAGATCCCCAGATATATATATAGCCATGTCTGTGATCCTGTACGTGACCCCATGGATAACAGGTAGGTTCAAGGACAAAATCATCCTGGATTGGAAATTTATTTGCCAGGTAAATGAAATCAGATCCAATTTTCTTCACCCTCACTTTCCCTTCCACTTCCCATACACCTCAGTCCTGAAAGCTACAAGGTACTGGGAAATTGGCCTTGAGAAATTGGCCTTGAGTGGAGTCTCAGGATTGCAGACATGCCTATTCCAAACTCTTTTATGGATCTTCCCATTTTTCCTTCTTGTTCTTCACTGTCAGCAATCTGCACTGAGTTTTCAAGATTGAGCCCCAGGTATGTTCATAATGATCTCCTGCCCAGGTGGAAAGAGAGTAGATGACCCTGCAGCAGCTCAGGCACAAAGCCACCAGGAAAGGGGTGGGTTCACAGGGTACAGCCTGAATCTAGGACATGTCAGGGAAGGACCACACAGCAGTGTCCTGGGAGGGGTCTTCACACAGAGGGATGCAAGATAAGGGAGAATACCCACATGGACTCCTGTCACCATGTAGCCCAAGAGTTAGGAATGAGGGCTTTTCTGCAGTGCAAGATGAAAAGTTAAAACTCTAAAGCAGCAGGATCAAGAGAATGTTACCAAATATTGGGCTTGCTATTCAATAGACATATAGCCAAATACTTTGGCATCAGGTTTTGAGAAAAGAAAGTTTTATTGCAAGGCAACCACTAAAGAGGCAGGAGCTCAAGTCAGTCTTCCCACCTATGAAAGGGAAGACATTAATACTGACTTTTAGGAAATAGAGTGGAGCACAAAGGAGTTACAATTTATTCACTAATAGGCAGATAAAGGGAAAAAAGAATGACTAAAATTTATTGACAAGTTACAAATAGGGGGAGATTTTTCTTTCAAGTAACTGGTCTTCCACTTTGATTGCTCCTCAAAAGCATTTTAGGTAGTGCCAACTTCCTCCAATACCCCCACTCTGTGTCACTTCAGCACATGCCTGGGTTATATCATTAGTAGATAGGTTGCATCCATGAAAACAAGCTTCAAAGGGAATTTACATGTAAAGATTTTTGTTCTAGGGCCCTCCCTTGTGGCGCAGTAGATTGGAGCACAGCACTGCAAAGCTGGCCACAGCAGCTTCAGTGCAAGTTCTATCCCCACCCCTGAGGTGACCACATGGTGTGGCAGACTTCTGCTGACCCACCCACTGCTCCCCTCAGCAGTGTACTTCATCAGTCAGTCTGTTCTGTTCCCCACTCTGTCTCTGGTGAATCCTCTCACCGCACCTCTGGCCTGTACCCCAGTTCTGTATGCATAAATAAATTTTTTAAATCTTTAAAAAAAGATGTTTGTTCCTTTTGTGTTCTAGGGCACAAAATTGAATTTAGTCATTTAATTGTATAATGAAACAAATGCCAAGTTGTGCTCTCCAACACTCTCCTATCTTTCAGGAGGGCTGCTAACTGTTGGTTTGGCAACCATGCTGCTGATAGGCCTGGGCCTTGCATTGAGGCCCCAACCGGCTCAGGCCTATCCCATAAGGGAGTGGAGATCTCAGTGGAGGGAACTCAGGGAAACACACACTGAATATTCGTCCCTCAAGGAAAGGTAAGTCCCCTTACCCCTCATACCTGCCTCATCCTTGCCCCAATCTAAGGATCTAACCATTCCCTGCTCTGGCCCTGCCCACACTAATGAACTCTGCACTGGTCCTATGGGCTTAGGAAGAGCTCCTTCCTGTGCTAACCTGTGATGTTCATAGCTGGCTCGGAGTCCACATGAGCAGGTGCCACCCTGTGTGTCTAAGCACTGAGGATTAAGGCCGCTGCTCTTTCCAGCTTTCCCTTCCATGAAGACCATGGTCCTCGAGGGTCTGGAAAGAGAGTCAATTCCAGGGGTGAAGCCGTCAGCCCAGCTGCAGGTACCACAACAGTGTATAGGTATTCCTTCTCCTCTCCACTTCTTTCCATCCTGCTTGTAACCAGGTACACACTTTGGAAAAAATTTCATATTTCCAGAACACTGAGTATTTATGACTCTTCATTCTCTGCATATGGTATTCACAATGGTTTAAAGCATGGGTGTTTTCAGGTGTGGCCCTGTTCCCATTTTATAGATAAAGAGACTGGGGCTCAAGGAAATATAAGTGACCCTTCCAAGGTCTCTAGATGATGAGTACTTAAAGAGAGTGCTGCTGAGTTTGAGGTAAGCACTCTCTTACCCTTACTATGATGGTCAGGAGTTCTCAGAGACTGAAGAAAAATTCTCCAACTCACTGCAAGGGCCACATGAGGATTATTTACAAAACCCCTTTATAAGCTCCCTGGATTGTCTTGGAACTTAACAGAACCTAAGACTCACTTCTGTACACACACACACACACACACACACACACACACACACACACAGAGTCTAGGACAGGCCTTACTTACTCTATACTACCCCTAAATATGCCTTTATATGGGGAATTAAAGGCTGATCCCCTTCTAGATAATGGCTCTGAATAGTGAAGACAACAAAGACTGACTGCACCCTCCCTGGTGGTGCAGTGCCTTAAAGCACAGCACTAAGAAGCTAAAGCCACTCCCGCATGAGTTCAGTGCCCACCCCGGAGGTGATCCACAGCACGGCAGACGTCTCCCCTTCCCCCCCACCTGCTCCCCTCAATACTTCGTCAATCTGCTTGTTCTGCTCCCCACTCTGTCTCTGGGGAATCCTCTCACCACCCCTGCACCTTTGCTTCTACCCCTGTTCTGTATGCATAAATAAATAAATAAATCTTTTTTTTAAGATTTATTTATTTATTCATACAGAACTGGGGTACAGGCCAGAGATGTGGAGGGTGAGAGGCTTCACCAGAGACAGAGTGGGGAGCAGAACAGGCAGACTTTCGAAGTACACTGCTGAGGGGAGCAGCGGGCGGGCCAGGAGAGGTCTGCCGCGCCATGTGGTCACCTCCCGGGCAGGCGGGAATCAAACTCATGTGGAAGTGGCTTTAGCTTCTCAGTGCTGTGCTCTAACCTGCTGTGCCACCAGGGAGGGCCAATAAATAAATCTTAAAAAAAAAAATACTGACTGAATCCTGGGGAAATCTACCTTTCCTACCCCATGTCACTCCCGCCATGGCTGACTAGATTTACAGGGTAGGCACAAATCAGGATTGGGGATTAACCTCAGCACTTTAACCTATAGCCTCCTTTGGGGGTTTCCATAGGAGGAAGTAGGCCTTGTAGGACTCACCTGAGTATTGGCACAGAGTTGAGTTCTTTTGGTGACAGCATTGGTCCTAGAGGAGAAAGTTAAAGAAAGTGTCTCTTCACTGTGGGACCTATGAGGAAAGAAAAGACCTTGATGGCCTCAGTTCTACCTTTGGAACAGATGACTTATCACTCCTTCTAGCTGATAGCTAGAAAGGGACCCTACCCTGAGGTGGGTGGGGGAGATGATTCTCCTGTCTCTACATACCTGGCACAAAGACAGGAAGGGAGGGCAATGTTGGGTCTGCGTGGACTGGGGCAACTGTGTGTTGCTCAAAAGAACTGCCCCTGTCACTGCCAGGATGAAGGGGGCTCGCTTTCTCCCATCCACACTCACCAACCTGAGCGCGGGCAGTGTGAGCTTAAAGGGGACACCGATCAGACACAACCTCAAGTATCTGTCTATACTGCCTTGACCACTTGCCTGCCTTCCTCAGGATACTGCATCCTAGGGGAGAGGTGGACCTGTCCTAGCAGAGCAGGCTGTTTTGAGAGAGAATAAGGGCAGGGAGATTAAGACCATCAGCTACGGGGATTCCTTCAGGATGTGAGAGCCCCCTTGGTCCTGAGACAGCAAGAAGTCCCAAAGAAGGTGAATTGCTTTGAAGTCACCTGTCTCCTTAAGTCAGCCTGGATCCTACGCCCTTGCCTGAGGCTAAAGGAGGCATATTGATAAACATGTACTAGAGTATCTGCCATATGTGAGGCCAGTGCTAGATGCTGTGGGGTCCTGAGAAGAGCTAGGTCAAGTGGACAAGAGTTCCCAGAACAGTGGAAAAGAAGGGGCAAGAGCTGAGACCCTGGAAACAGGATATTAGAGGAGTGGGCACAGCAGGATGGACATCGGCTGAGGGAAGGAGCAGGCCAGTCAGTCACAAGTGGCCTAAAAGAGTCAGAAAATAGCCTCCTCAAAGGCTGCTAGGTTTGTGGAGAGAAACCAATCTCCTCCCACACAGTCTCAGCAAAGCAGAGGGCAACACTGTCCCCTCAGCTCTGGTGTGCTACCAGACCACAGATGATGTTTAGGCCCCTTGTCAGCCGTATCCATAGAAGAGATTCCCTCTGCAGCCACTGCCACCTTCTTCTCCTTCCTCTCCACTACCAAGTCTTCTCCCCGAGCATACTTCCTCCTCCATCAGGACTCTGCTCTCCTCTGCCCGCTCTTCCTGTCTGCAAAGCCCTCCATTCTCAAACCTCACCCTACCTCTTTCCCTTCTCTACCCCTGCCAGGACCCTGTGCTCATCCCACAGTCTCATTCTAAGCCTCTTCCTACAGGGAAGCCATTTCCATCAAATGCCCTGGACAATTTCAGTGTCCGAACACTCTATGACAAGCTCGAGGACCAGAACCTACATGTGGCAACCCAGTTGAGCCAGCACAGGCGTGACGCTCTGGCCTTCTACAGGGGTGCCATCCAGCAGCTTCAGGGGCTCAAGGTCAGTTCAGTTCCCAGACAACTTCACCAACATCACTCTTACTCGCCTATCATGTACCCCTTCTGTATATTGCCTAAAACAAGGCAATTCATAGCTGAGATAGTAACCCTCCCTGCTTCTCCCAGGAGCATCTACAAGGCCTTCCCTCCACTGAGCAGCAAGTTCTAGGCAGGAGTCAAGATATGGAGATGAGGGCCAGAGCTGCCGCCGGGACAAGCACTGGGCAGAGTGAAGGATTTTGGGGCGACCACTCTGCATCTTCTCAAAGGGAATTCTGGCCATATCCTGGAGGTGAGAAACAAGCCTAGGTGTGGCCGTGACAGCAGGTGGCAAGTCTTGACACTAACTCTGCATAGCATCTCTGTGCACATCTCCCATTCGTCACCTCACAAGGTACTCAGCATCCTTATCTGTAACTAGATAGCAGCCACCTGGACACAGATAGTCCTGGTTCAGGGGGTGGCTGAGTAAACATTCCCCAGACCTCCTGCTGACCGATGGCCTGGTGTGGCGTTGGCCTCTTCTAGAAGGACAAGGGAACAAGAGATCTTGAAAGTCTCCCTAGTTCATACCTTCAGGTTTTTTCTAAATGGAAAAGTAATGTGTGCCCCTGACAAAAATTCCATCAGCACAGAAAATATAAATGGAAAGCTACCGTCCACTTGACCCCACAGCTAGGATAGCAGTAAATTTGTTTGATGCTCACCGTGGAAGCTCCTCTTACAATAGCTAGTACCTGGAAATGCTCCTGCCACTCAGACAACTTTAAATCTTTTCCAAGTTTAAAAGACTTCTTCCCTCTAGCCCGGACATCAGGTAGTATGTGTCTATGCTCACCTGGGCTTTGAGTTCACAGGCACTGCTTGTGGCAGAAAATAGGCGGAATCTGAGGATACGCACCTGGGTGCCCAACATGCTCACTGGCTGACTGCTACACTCAGAGGTTGAGAAACCCTGTGTAGATCCTGTGCATATACACTCCTGTGTATGGTTTCCCAGCTGCCCCCAAGCAGCCCTGATGCCCCTGTTTGAGTCACCAAGCAAAGGATGACATTAACTCTATAAGTTGCTATGGTGGGCCAGGCCAGAACCTGACTTCTACTGCACATCTGTGCACACCTCTGCCATCTCTGGCTTAAAGGGGACACATAAGGAACATGCTTCATGAGATCCCAGGACCAACCTCTCAGTCACCATGCTCCTGTTCCAAGAGCCCAGCCCACAGTCTTCCCTAGGAGCCCCCTGGCCCTTGTAGAGACAGGCCAGGAGGGCTTGGCTTGTTCTGCAGCATCAGTTGTTCCTCAAACAGGGCCTGTCACTTGAAGAGTATGTTGGATCTGAGGTTCAGGGACCCGTGCTGATTTTTTCCATGACCAGCTACCAGAATAATGGACCATCTGTCCTTGTCCCTCCAAATCAGGAGGCAGACAGTGGTACCTGTACCCACACAAGGGGAAGCAGTGTGTAAGTCACCTCCAGCCCTGATTGTAGCTGACGAGCCAGAAAGCTTTCTTTTTTCTTATGGGGGAAAAAACACATGTGATGAAGCTTTAGCAGGAGGTCAAACAGATTCTACAAAAACTCCCTGTGTATGTCATGTGCAGATATGTTTGTGGATGTTTGGATATGTGGGTGGGTTAGTGTGTATGTGTGATCTTATATGCATTTATGGTCTGTGGAGCCCAGGATCTCAAGAGGCTTCCTTGACCTTCTCTCCAAAACATTCCCTTTTCTTACTCTTCTCTTCTCATCCCTGCACTTCTAGGCTAGGATGACACCCAGCCAAGTGATCAGGAGAAGCACAGATAAAGCCACATTCCTCAGAAATTTGCTTGATCCTAAACTAAAACTCTGCTATAGATCATCTACCTGGGTGCTGCTGGAGCTAGCGGTGGCACCATTCCACACTTGGTTATGGCTGACTAAGGCACGAGGCCACCTCCAGCCCTGATTATAGCTGACTGGAGCCATTTTTTTCTTATGGGGAAAAAAATACATGTGATGAAGCTTTAGAAAACTGAAAAAATAAAATTCTTTGGCAAACGCTCCCTCTGCATGCATGTCCCAAGGAATCTCGCTACCTGGTTCTGGAGACTGTGGCAGGTGTGAGCCCCTGCACAGCAGGACCTGGGGTCATAGATAGCCTGAGCAATGCACAAGCAAAACACACCACTTAATGGTGCTGAGACAGTCACAGGTCACAGATAAGACATATCAATAAAAGATAGATACTAGGCTTAAAAAAAAAAAAAGAAAGAAAAACAGTAGTTATAAAAATGAAACATTTGATGCATGAAACCCCACCATGTTCTTCAGGTTCAATCCACATGCTTTTGGAGTGGCAGCCTAAGAGAGGGAAAGAGCAACAGAAGTGGGTTCTGGGATGGAAGGTGCAAATAAAATAAAAGGATGCATGCATACAAATGCTCAGTCTTCAAAATGGGGCAAAGTTTAAGTATTGTAGGGCTGGAGTTAACATTTGTGAATGGGTGAGATTAATGTGTCTGAGACCTTTGTCCCATGTGTTCCTTCTCCAGATGCCAGTGTGTGTCCCTTGGGTTTTCAGTCAGAGCTGCAAAGAGTGACCACTGCCTTGGCATCTGCACTGCATCATGCACTCAAACCCCCAACTGGGGATGACAGAGAGGTAAAGAGACCCCGGGCAGCTGAACACCACTGTACATCAGACCAGCCACACTGTCACTCATGGAAATTCATTTGGCATTCACATGGCACAACACATAAACATGTACACACACACACATATCACACACTAGTACACAAGCACGAACAAGCATGTGTTGACTTAAATAAATTGAGGCAAGCAAAATTCAGTGAATGTATTAGAGTCAATAATGAGAACAGCCTCCAGGAACAGCTCTAGGAAAACTGCCCACATTCTGGGTGTTTCAGTGTGATACTCATGAAGAGATCACATGAAACATTTTTATGATTTCTGTAGAGACCAAGAAAATCTCAGTAAAGGCCCAGTTAATTTATCTACCTGGTTGTATGTAGGCATTGAGGAAAACAAAGCAGGCTGTTTAAGAGTTACCATACTTAGAAGCATATCTTTGGAGACTGGGAGTTTTAGCGATGTTGCAAAGGCAGCAGTTTCTAAACACTGCTCCTCTACAGGACCAGCATTTTTCTGAGGTGCATTTTCTTCATGGGGCCAGACCAGCTGCATCCTATTGATTTGCTTCCCTTAGCACCAGAAAAAGGGGCACCCACTTCATTGTTCATTTGGTTAACACACATATTCACACACACTACTCACATTCATATGCGCACACATACAACCATACACAAGAACATCACACATTGCTATACAACTGCTTCCATGCAGCATTTAGATACACTTGTGAATATACATGATGGAACACACATGCACATGTAGGTCCATGCCCAGCAGGTGGCCCCTCATTCTTTTCAGAAATCCAGGGTGTGCTGTGTTATCTGTGCTCAGTGGTTATCCCTGCCAAGATATTTGACAAGACAATGTCCCCAGTTTACAAAATGATCCCTCAAAACAAGTCAAGGATCCTGCTGTGAGTACCACATTGTCAAAGAGTAGGAGGTATCTGTTCAGGAACCCTTTTCGAGCCCCCCCAATGCAATAGGGCAGAATTCAAGTGATAGAAAATGTCTCTGAATGAACTGAGGGTATAGAAACAGGAGGCATTTTCTCATGTGGGGTCTTCACTATTTCTGGGTGGGTGCTTGGGCCCCCATGCTAGTAGCTGAACAGGCAGTAGCTGTCCACACAGAAATGAAGCAGTAGAAGGTAACATGTACCCATACTGACAGTGATGCTGCACTCAGCCCCCACTAGTCTTTTGGGCCTAGGACCCTAGAGGAAAGTTACAGACTTGTCTGCTCTTCCTAGGCTGCTGCTCAGATTGATGGACAGCTTCTGTCTACCTGTCACCATGACCCTCATCTGATGAGTGACAAGACCCAGCCTCTACTTTCATATGAGGAGCCTCAAAGTGCAAGGTAGAGACAGCCATCAGTCTCAAAGTTTGCACACAGTGATCATATTCTTAGGATCTGACCCTTAGTGCTCTGGCATTAAGAATCTTTCTTTTCACAATCACAATATGATTTAATGAGTTAAAGTTGAAACCTGGCTACAAGGCTACAAGGCTTCCTACCCTTAGTTGTCCCCTATTCACTGGTGTAAGGAACTCGTCAGAACTTGCGGTGTCATTACTTAAGGTTTTTCCTAACAACGGGAATGAGGCCACATTCATTCTGGCTGACCCCAAAATTCATGTTCTCACCCTCCTCCTTCTAACTCTACTTCCTTTGAAACACTGAATCCATGGAATGTAGCAGATGGTATTTTGTTCTTCTCCACTTTGACCAATATACTGAGATAGATTTGTTTGCTATGTTGACTGAATTTCTACCCACATGTTTAGAAATGGCCTGTTCTTCTTTTCATCTTCTTTTAATAATTATTGATTGCTTGCATTTGCTGTTACTATGATAAGCACCTTATCTGCTTCAAATCTAATCCTCACAACAACCCTATGATAGATACTATTTACTCACTCCATTTTAAAGATGAGAAGGGGTTACCTGAATTATGGTAGGGCTCAAACAGGTTTAGTTACTGAGGTTCTGCTTAAAGGATGTAATCTCAGAGTCCACCTGCTCCACTCACCTGCACCTATCTCTCCTCCAGTCCTTCCACCAGCCATAGCAGTCCTTCCTCCTGGAAAATTTTTTCTACCTATACCTTTTTTTAAGGAGTTTAGATAGTAGATACAGATCATTAAAGTCTCCTACATGCAAAAGAGAGTAATCTACTCACCTACTATTTTCATAGCACTTGGGGCTCTGGAGGATCAGGGCTCTAGAAAGAAAGATCACACAAAGAAAAGGGAAAGTGGGATGCTGGAGTCTCAGGTACTACAAGAGATTCTACCCTCAATATTTTGGATCTTGAGTAAATAATTTCCAGTTAGCATCATGAAATACAATTTCACTTGATAGATATTTATTGTTACCTTTGACATGGGGCTAATGGGGTCTGGAAGAACAAGTAAGTACAATACAAGGTTCTAAAGGTTTAAAGATGTCAAAGATGTCTTTAAGTATCAGGAAAAGTTTTGTGATCATTTGAGATAGGCTTTGAGATAAGGAGAGGGTCCTGACAGCAGAGTTGTTAAGGAAGGTGAGGAAGCCCAGGTATGTCTCATAAATGAGGTCTGGAAGCCAAAATGTGCCCTGGAGATAGCCAGGGCTTTCCCATCTCAAGGTGAAGAAACTGATATCTAGAATTTATTTGCTAAAGGAGATGCTGAAGAGTATAACAATGTATTCATCATGACCCCAACTGGTATATCCTAGATGAAAGATATGAGGGGACTGTATTATAGGATGTGGTTTAAACGTGTGGCATAAACATATAACCCCATAGATCTGTGCAGCAAGTAGTACTGAGATGGCATACCTCCCTTACAGGCCTCAATGGTGAGGGAGAGAACCATAGAAGGAGCCCCATTATCTGCAAAGGCACTACCAGCCTGGTTCAAAAGGAGGGCATCCTTTTTCTTTATGTTTCTTACATTCTCAGCTATGACTGTATTAGCCTGACAAACAATCAAAGAAAGAGAAAGAAAACCTTAAATTCATGAATGTGTGCAGGAACAGCCCTGGGAACACTCAGTGAGAGTAACTCTCTGTGAATGGTTAGAACTTGGGCTTATCTAGCGTCTTACCAAAAAAACAACATACTTTGGGAATGGGGGCAACACAAAATAAAAGGACTTTGATCTTCTAGTATGGCAAATTGTAAGAAAGTCAACATCTGGGAAAATTACAGGTAGACGAGAAGTGGTTTAATCAGTGTAGGTTCTTCTGGTACCATCTCTGGACTGTTGATGGTCTAAAATATTCTTCTCATTAACATATGTTTGGGGAGAGGGGAAAATCTTAAAATTTTAAGTCATGCTTTTAGACAAAGAGGGAAGAGGAAAGATAAGTTTTATTGATTCAACTGCCAGGTTGCCTTCAACTCAAAATCATCAGTATGTATGCCAAAGTGGAATATTTTAGGGTGGCATATTCTGCTGCCTGTCACTGAAGAGCTGTTTACCAGCAAGTCAGGAAGCTAGTGTGGTTGCAGATCCAGGGAAACCAGGGTTTGTCAGTTTGTTGTCACATTAATAACACATCTTTCTCTAACCTCAGGGAAGAGGTCTAAGAGGTCTTTTTTCTGACTGAAGTGAATAAAAAGACACTTCTCATTCCTCTTCTTCCTAGCTCCCAGAAGGACCAACGACCTGCACATCTCCCTCAGGGTGACAACAAAGGAGATGTTGAGGGCTCCCAGGAGTGGAGCATCTGGGCAGCACCTGGATACAGAGCCTTCCCTGAACTGCAGGTAGGAGGGAGTCTACTTCACAGCAGGGAAGCTTTGGGCTACCATGTTTGCCAGCCCCCATCTCTTCCTGGAGGATTCAGTGCTACTAGCAGACTAACCTGTCAACCCTGCTTGTTATCCACACACTGTTTGCAGCTCTTGGAGACAAATCCATCAGAGAGTGGAGAAAAAGTGACCAAGAGGGATACTTGGTGGAAAAAAAACACTAGGGTCAGAGAACATTGGTCAGGAAAATCACAAACAGCAAATGCTCATTGATCAACTACACTATCCATTGGGCAAAGTGTAGAAGTGTTTCTTTTTAATTAATTTATTTATTTACTCATACAAGAACTAGGATACAGAACAGAGGCATGGGGTGGGGGTGTGAGAGGATTCACCAGTGACAGAGTGGGGAACACAACAGGCAGATTGACTGAAGTACACTGCTGAGGGCAGCAGCAAATGAGACAGGAGAGGTCTGCCATACCATGTGGGTCATCCCTCTGGCCTGGGATTGACTCATGCTGCAATAGCTTTGAATAGCTTCATAGTGCTATGCTTTATCCCCTTGCACCACTGGGGAGAGAGGCAGGTATGATAAAGTTTATGAAGGTTTAAAAGAATCTTTAAAGCAATAGGGAAAAATCCAAAGGAAAGCATTAATAGTTGTTGTGACCATATAAAAGTATAAAATAGGGTTCTCAGGTCAGAAATTTACAGATACTTAACAGATACTTTTTTCTCTATTAGAAAAAAAAATTTACAAATATTCCTGAAAGAAAAGAAATACAAAGTTGTAAAATAATATGAAATTGATAATTTGATTTAATGTCTTTTTATCTACCTAAAATGTTCAACTAAAATACACAAAGTTCTCTATTAACAACATTGATTGATTTTTGGAACCTAGGACTTTAGCAAAACAATAGATAATGAAACCAATTTGATCCTAGGTTAATTGATAAAAACAAGAGTTAAGCTCCCACTGTACATTTCTGGTCATAAAAACATCACCAAATTTCTAAGTTTCCCCCCTCAGTTCTAATACAATCATTTATATTCATTCACTCATTTTCTGATTTGTTTATTCAAGTTCAAGGTCCTGGGTGGTTGGAGATCAAGCTTCAATGTAGGATATGGCCTTGAACAGGGTGCCCTTCCATCATACTCACACACACTCACTCTCACTGTGACAATTAAGACTCATGCACCAACATATCCATAATACCACTGCCCTAATAGAGGTTTGGTGTAACAGTACTGTACTCAGACTGGCCATCAGATTCCAACAACCCAGAACAACCTAAAGAGATGCCTATCAGGACTAGTGGCACAATGTTCCAATGCTTTGAACAAATTGGACAAACAGCAGGGAGAAAAAAAATACAAATGACCAAGAAAGGACACACCATAAAGAGAAACCAACAACCAGAATGCAACAACAATAACTTGGAAGAACTTGACAGCATGCCAGGTAAAGAATTTAAAATCACCGTGATTAAAAACTGAAAGAAGATGAAAAGGAAAAGAATATGAGAAAAATAATCAATGATCAGAAGGATGAAATTGAGTCCCTAAAGCAGAAAGTGAACAATATAACACTAAAGGAGGAATTAAAGAATTCTGAGAAAAGCAATGAAAACAGAATAGAAGAAATGGAAGAACAAATAAGTACCCTCAAAGTTATAGAAATATAAAGAATGAAAACAGGAACAGAAAGAGAAGTACAAAGAAAAAGAATGAAGAAACACTTCAAGAACTATCTGGTAAGTTATAAGAATCTCATAAGGAGAGAAGAGAGACAAACATAAAATATTCAAGGAGATAATCTAAGAGAACTTCAAAGTATGAAGAAGGAGATGAAAATAGACATACAACAAGAGAAAAGAACACCAAATTTCCACAGTGAAAGGAAAAATAGAACAATACACAAGCTCCTAAAAGTCAAGCTCCTATGAATCCAAGACAAGGAAAAAATAATGAAACTGATGAGGGAAGAAACAGATAACATATTAATGAAAACCAATCAGGCTGACATCAGACTTCTCCAAATAAACATTGCAGGCAAGAAGGGAGTGAAGGGACATATTCAACAAACTCCAAGACTACAAATGCCAACCAAGAATACTTTATCCTGAAAAGCTCATTCATCAAAGAAGAAAGAAAAGTTTGTCTTACCAGACAAACAGAAACTCCAGAGTTTCGTTACAACTAAACCCCCACTTTAAAAACTACTACAAGAAGTCTTAAAGTCAAATCCAACATAGAGTTGAATAAGAATGAAATAACAGGGGATAAAATCACAAAAAGACAAACTCATCAATAAAAAGACACAAAATCACAGGCTCAATTAAGAAACAGAATCGAACTTTTTACTGTCTTCGGAAACATATTTGACAAAAGAAAAATAGACTAAAGTAAAAGAATGGAAACAATCCTACATGGTAATGCACCAAAAATGAAGGCAGGAATATATATACTTACATCAAATAAAATAGACTTCAAAATAAAAAAGGTAAAAAGAGACATAGATGGTCACTACATTATGATTAAGAGGACAATTATCAAGACAACATAATACTCATCAACATATAATTATCAAACAAAAGAGCACCAAAATATATCAGTTTTTATAATCTCTGAAAATAGACATGAGATAAAATATGTTTGTAGTAGGAGACTTTAACACAACACTCTCAACAATGGATAGATCAACAGACAAAAAACTAGTAAGGGCAGGGCCCTTCCTGGTTGTACAATAGGTTAAAGCACAGTACTATGATGTCATTTCAGCATGAGTTCTATAACCATCAGGAAGGTGAACCACATAGTGTGGCAGACCTCTCCTGTTCTGCCCACTGCTCCCCTCAGCAGTGTATTTCAGTGAATCCACCTCCTCTGCTCCCCACTCTGTCTCTGGTGAATCCTCTCACCCCCCAGCCAAACACATACACAAACACACACCTCTGGTCTGTATGGCAGTTCTTATATGCATAAATAAATAAATCTTTAAAAGATAGATAAAGACAATAAAACTCTAAAAAAGGACATGGATCTCATGGGCTTAACAGACATCTATAGAACTCTGCACCCAAAAACATCTGAGTACAAATTTTTCTCAAGTGCACATGGCTCATTCTCCAGGACTGACCACATATTGGGACACAAGACAAACATCAACAAATACACAAAAAAACAAAATCATACCATTTTGTGACAACGAACGTATCAAACTAGAAGTAAATCATAAAAGTAAGGCAAGGAGCCCTCTTACCAATGGAGATTGAAACCCACATTGCTGAAAGACCATTGGATCATTGTTGCAGACCCACCTAGCGGTGCGCTGGCTGCTACGTTCACTAGCCGCCCAAACGTAGGTGACTTGGAGATGCAAAAGAAACTGAAGCAGGAGCCTGGGGTCTGAAGTCTGAAGTCTGTTTATTAGGACTGCCCATGGGTATATATAGGGTCGGTAGGTACAGGGAAAAACAGGAAATGTGCCCAATGCAGGGGGTGGGACCTAGGGGCTTCTTGTAGCTTCTGCTTGATACAAAGTAGTGGGCTGCAGCTATTTGCAGGACAGAGTGCACTGTGCTCTACTGGCTTGTTTGTTGGCCTTACTGGGGAGTGTGCTCACCCATGCACAACACTAGCCAGGGAGGACAGGTGCACTTGAGGTCCCACAGAGTTAGCCACAGATCATAAGGAGATCAAAGAAATTAAAAAATACTTTGAGCTGAATGATAATGAAGACACAACTTTCCAGAGCATATAGCACACAGCAAAAGCCATGGTAAGAGGAAAATACATAGCAATGCAGGCTCACATCAAGAAACAAGAGAGAACTACAAGGAACTACCTAATCTCCTACCTTAAAGAACTGGAAAAAACAAAACTACAAATACTAGTAGGAAAAAGGAAATTTTTTAAAAATCAAAGCAGAAATAAAGGAAATAGAAGTTAAGAAAAAATATATAAGACATTGACCAAATCAAAAGTTGGTTCTTCAAAAGAAATTAACAAACTGGACAAACCTCTAGCCAAGCTCACAACAACAACAAAAAAAAAGAAGACAAAAATAAAAAGGATTACAAATGAAAGAAGAGACATCACAACAGACACAGCACAAACCAAAACAATAATCAGACTACTATAAATAGTTATATGCAAACAAGTTTAACAATCTAGAAAACAGACCAGTTCCTTGAACCATACAATCATCCAAAGTTAGATTTAAATAAATAAATAAACAAGCAGTGAAATTGAAGCAGCAAGCAAAACCCTACCCAAAAACAAAGCCCAGGGCCAAATGGAGGTACAAATGAATTCTACCAAATGTTCAGAAATGAACTAATGCCTATACTATACAAAGTCAAAAAATTGAGAAGGGACAATACCAAACATAGCCAACACTATGCTAATACCAAAAATGAATAAAGACATCACAAAAAAAGAAAACTACAGGTCAATCTTTGTAATGAACACTGATGCAAACTTCCTCAATAAAATTGTAGACGGCAGAATCTAACAATGCATCAACAAATAATGCACCACAACCAAATAAGATTTATTTCAGGTGTACAGGATGGTTCAACATCCAAAAAACAATTAATGTAATCCAACACATCAACAAAAAGGAAAATAAAAAAAAAAGATCATATCAAGAGATGCTGAAAAAGCATTCAACAAAGATCCATTTATGATAAATGTCCTCAAAGGTCTCAAGATAGAAGGAACATAACATAACAGAGGTTATATATGACAAGCCTGAAAAGAAAAGGCAGAAGGAAAGACGGACGCCATGAGTCTGTTCACCAAAAGGAAGAAGAAGAAGAAGTGCTATTTTATTTCAGAGCTGAACTTTTATACACATTAAAGGTATCATGTCGAGTGCCCATTGGCCGGGCCACGGTCAGGCAGAGAGAGAGGCAGGAGGGGTCGTGGAAGAGTGTCCAAAAAGAAAAGATACAATAAGCAGGACGAACTAAGCCCATGGCCGTATCTGGCAGGGAAAGACA